TTTTGTCTTTGTATGTCACATGTTAACCATTTAAAGATAACTACACATGTACCTTGGTTAAGGGCAAAATTGGAAAAAAATATTTTTTTGGAAGAAGAAAGTGTTTTGGTGTGAGAAAGTGTCTATGTAGATAAATATTTTGTGAGAAAGTGTCTATAATGATAAATTATCCACAAAGGAAATGATATGATGATAATACCAACGAGAAATAGGTAAACCGTAATCGTAATTCTTTGTGTGGATGATTGTATAAAAAACATTTCAATGTTTTTTTCACCATTGTTTGATTGTTTGTGGCATTTTAGACTATGAGTATTTATATTTTCGATGTATATCTGTTTCGATGTTTTCTTCTATATTTAGATGTTAATATGTATACCACTCAATAAAATAAATACTTTTTTTGTTTATTGATTAGAGCGATCCAGTTACGTAGCGTATTAATAACAGTGAATTAAGTAGATAACCATAAACAATAGTATAATTAACAAATTGACAGTGAGAAAACATAAATTCAAGGAAGTAACAGTGAGAAAATAGCAGTGAGAAAGTAGTATGGATTGAGGTTTATTACAATTAACCCTTCAGAATTTGTGTGTGTAAAGATTTTGGAAATCTACTTGAAATCTAGTAGGTTGTCCGTATTTATAACTAATATTCGGATAACAATAAAGATTACTCTTTAAATATGTTATACTATCCAGATATTGAGTTTATTAACCGTATAATAATAATATTATCCAACTTTCTAATAAAATTTATTTGTTGTACTTATATTTTATTCGGTTACTAATCTTCTTTTTTGTAAATTGTTAAAAAAATACAGCCAACTTATTATAGGTTGTCCGGTTTATAAAATTTGTATTCGGCTAACAATTAAGATCACTCTTTGAATATATTCTACTATCTGGATACTGACTCTATTATCCGGACTCGTAGCTACTTTCACCAGATCTGTTGCTGCTTCCGTCATATAGAGAGCCGAGAGACTCATTTTGGGGTAAAAACGTCCTAAAAGCCTACTAAATAGTGTCAGACTATCTCTCTTGCCAAATACCCAATAATTTGTTGCTATCCACTATAAATACTCTATTAATAAAAAGGAAATAGTATTTATACAATACATGTAAATTGTTTACTACTCCCTCCGTTTTATAATACAGGATTTTTGGAGTTTTTTTTTGTTTCACAATATAAGATGTTTTGATACTTTAAGATATTTTTTAGCTTTATTGAAAACTGTGTGACCAATAATCTTTTGCAAGTCTTTTTATATTTAGTTGAATTGTTTTAATTAATATATTAAATTCTATTTTTTGAAAGAAATTTTTTTTTTTAATGTTTGTGCTTTTGACAAAACATCCTATATCATAAAACAGAGAGAGTATTTCCCAAGAATTGTCACATGATTTTGATGAAGTCTCCCTTGACGAAGAAGGTTTTCTTTTTACCAACAACTTCAACAAATGAATTACTTCATTAGTGGTTTTTGCCATTTCGGCCGTTTTAATGGTGTTTTTGTTAATTATTTGCCACCATCCAAATGGTAAAGCAGAGAACAAAAAAAGAATTATTTGGTCTTTTTGTTTTCAGAATTAGAGTTAGAGGTAAATTTGAACACTATTTAGATGGTGGTGACAAATTAGAAAGATCAAATATAATTCTCAAGAAAATGATGTCATCAACAAAAAGGCTAAGGAGGACAAACATATTTTGGACCTTGAGATCGAGAAAGTTTTATACATGGACAAAAAAACATACGTCTCCTTTTTCATTTTAGATTTATATGTCCCACTTGGTCATTGAAATGAAATGCTTGTGGAGAAGAAGAATCAATGATAAAAATCTCTAGCTCTAAAAATGTAATATGACAATTTATAAATAAAAGTTAACAACTTTGTTTGTATTGATCAAACGGACAACTGAGAATTCCTTACAAAGCTTATTGTTTTGTCAATTCAAGTTTGTGCATTTTCTAGGAACCACAACATAGGTTTAGTCGAACCGTACATCCCAATTTCACTGTGGTTTTCTTTTTACCAACTTAAAAATTGGAGCTATGTTTCGTAAAAGTGAGAATGTTGGGGTTTCTTTTGATTAATTTACCCATTTCAATCTTGTTTTAAAAAAAATGAATTATCAATTTCTTTAATTAGAAATATCCAAAATATCGACCACACCAATTCAGTGAGACGGTCATCACATCTATCGGCTAT